TCTGTCTAAATCTCCTCCCGTTCAGTCCGATGAAGTCCATCCCTGACATCCCTACAGAGCCACTGCTGCGGCCGCCGACCTGCCGCTGTGGGGATCGAGGTGGCTGCCCTGCTGCTGCCCAGGCCCCCCTCCCCCCGTGGCTCCCTTGTGCCGTCTGGAGGGCCCTTCAGCCGCTTCGCTTCGGTGAGTGGGTCCCGCGCTTTCTGAGAGAGGGCACGGGAGGTCAATGTCTCTTTAAGACCTTGAACCTGAGACCCGGTTGGCAGTGTGCCCAGGTAGGGATTCCAGGTGGGAATATGTCCTCGTTGGCCAAGTCAAGGCTGGCCCCTCTCTGGTTTCCAGTGTGGTTCCTGGGAATGCCGACACCTCTGAGGACGGTGCTGTTATTTCCTCTCCTCCTGGCGGCGAGGGACCCGCTTAGATCCCCACTTCCCTTTGTTGTTTGTCTGCTCTCACCTATGATCCCTGTGTCTGCACGTCCACCTGCTCCCCCCCCCCCCCCCCCCCCCCCCCCCCCCCCCGTGCTCCTGTCGTGTCCTTTCTCCTTTGCCATCTGATGGGTCTACGCCTGCGAACAGAGCCAACCAACAAAAACACAGACGGCACACCTGCCACGCTGCATCGCGCTCCCCAGGGTTTCAGAAACGGGAAAAGCGACACTCCATCCGGCCCGGAAGCTCTGGCCGGGAGTGTGGTCTGGGGTGCAGTGCGTGAGCCCTCATGTACCGATGGAGACGAAGGCGGCAAGCTCAGACGCCCTCCAGGCTGGCAGTCCACGCACGGCCGAGCCCTGCACGCCCACCACCCCTCTGCGGGTGCACCTTGCAGACCTGAGTGCCTGTCCTTCCAGTCTGGCTCGTGGAGTAGACGTGGTGCTGATGCTTGGCCAGTGACTGTGGAAGGAATGAGTGGCTATCCGCTCCAAAGCAGAGAGAGTATCTAATGGAAAAATAAAATATTGTTACACAAAAACAATGCTATTGGAGCCCACTCATCCCCTCACATAGTGCATGTGGCTGTGTTTAATAGGAATGGCAGAGATGAGTAATTGTGAGGGAGACCTATGGCCTGGGAAACCTAAAATATTTACAGGAAAGTCTGCTGACCCATCTTCCTGATGGACAGACTGTGGCTCGGAGGGTTGATGGGTCTGGTCCAACCTGTACAGCATTTGGAAGCAGAATCGAAGTTCAAACTGAGGTTTTCTAACGTGTCAAATGCCTTTGGGTATGGTTTCCCCTATATTTTCGCCTCTTTGGAAGAATAATCCCATATAAAATAGAGCCAATATGCAAATGGCCATCACACCATCATGCTGTCACTCTGGGGCCAGGACACCTGAGGCCACACCCCCACCCTGCAGGGCTTGGCAGGGGCGGTGCTGGCTGGGTCTGGATCTTGCGCGATTTCGAGCGCGCGCGCGTGTGTGTGTGTGTGTGTGTGTGTGTGTGTGTTGGTGGGGACTTGACTCTGGGTCCCATGGTGCGTGCCAGCCTCTGACAGGAGGGAGATTTTCATATGCATTTTACTAATTTTCTTTCATCTTTGACATTCTATTGTATAATATTATAGAGAAAGGGCAAATAGCAATATTAAAGTATTTCCTCTAACTAATTCCCTTTTCATGTGCATAAATTTCGTGCACTGGATCACTAGCTTTACTTGTAAAGTGCTTATTGTCTTCCCTGTTATTGTAAGTACTTCCCTTATATTAAATCATTTAACCTCCATGTTAGGTCGGGGTGAGGCAGGAGCTGGTAAAGGCGGGCCTGAGGCTGAATCCAGGCAGCTGTTCATTTTTATAAATAAAGTTTTGTCCTAGCTGGTGTGGCTCAGTGGATAGAGTGTTGGTCTGCAGACTAAAGGGTCCCGGGTTCGATTCTGGTCAAGGGCATGTACCTCGGTTGCAGGCTCCTTCCTGGGCCCTGGTCAGGGTTCGAGCAGGAGGCAACCAATCAATGTGTTTCTCTCATATCGATGCTTCTCTCTGTCTTTCCCTCTCCCTTCCACTCTCTCTAAAAATCAATGGAAAAATATCCTCAGGCAAGGATTAACAATCTGATCTAATAAAAGAGTAATATGCAAATTGACCATCACTCCAAACACCCAAGATGGCTGCCCCTATGTGGACATAAAATGGCCTGCAGGGGAGGGCAGTTGGGGGCAATCGGGCCTGTAGGCAAGAACAGTTAGGGGCAATCAGGCTGGCAGGGGAGGTCAGTTAGGGGCAATCGGGCCAGCAGGGGAGCAGTTAGATGTCGATCAGGCTGGCAGGGGAGTGGTTAGGAGCAATCAGGCAGGTAGGCAGGCAGGTGAGAGGTTGGAAGCCAGCAGCCTGGATTGTGAGAGGGATCCCAGATTGGAGTGGGTGCAGGCTGGCTGAGGGACAACTTCCACCCCCTGCACAAATTTCATGCATCGGGCCTCTAGTAAGTAAGTAAGTAAGTAAGAAAGTAAATAAATAAAGTTTTATTGGACCACACCATGCCCATTTGTTTCCTGTCTTTGTCAATAAAGTTGGAGCTCATCCATTCAAAGGCGTCTCCTCTGTGGCTCCCAGGAGGGCAAAGATGAGCAGTTCCCTGGAGCCTGCAGCAGCCTGTGGGGTGTGAGCACAGGTTGTCTGGCCCGTTACGTAGAAGGGCCTGGTGGAGCTGGGACTGCTGACCGTGTGGCCAGCGTAAGTGGTTTCTTTCTGGGAGGCAGCAGGCTGCACAGGTCACCGAGCCGAGAGCGAATGCTAAAGCCCGAGAAGCGTCTTCAGACCCCTCCACACGCTGCCCACAGAGAGGAGTGTTTCGAGTGCAAATGGAGAAGCCCAGGCTTGCCCAGCTCTGCGCAGTCACTGCCAGGCAGGGCTGGTCGTAGTCAAAGGCATGGAGCCAGAATTGAGGCAAATTTGAGGCAAGTTTTCTCCAGGCAAAAAAAGACCAGCCTGGAGCAAACCAAGTCTCCCCAAAACATCTGTTGAGCCGATGAGGTCACGTTCGTTGAGGCCACAGGCGTTCAGGAGCTGCTGTGGGTCTGACAGGCCGGTGCTCAGAAGCAAGCCCGGCGCCCGGCCTCCGAGAAGCTCCTCCCTCCTACTGAACCCACTCTCTGCCCCTCAGGAAACCCCGTTCACTGTGACAGGACATGGCAGACACACGCGCTGCCTCCTCCCGAGTCCCATCCGTGTGCTGATATTCCGACACGCACACGCCTTTCTGGGTGTATGGCTGCCCCATACACGCCCCAAACTGGGGATCAAGCCCGAAACCCAGGCATGTGTCCTGACCGGGAATCGAACCATGACCTCCTGGTTCACAGGTAAACACTGAGCCACACAGGCTGGGCCAGGCTCGTTGTCAATGACACAGTCCGTTAGACCATTCACACACACCGCATCTGGCTGGTGGAACAGCGTGAGCTGTCACCAGAAGGTCTGAGTCCCTATGCTCCTCTGTCATCAGGGATGACAAGACTGGCCAGGATGATTTTACCGGATCCTGGGGAGAAGGAGGGAGACGGTGAATGAGGCCCTTTTGGTGAGTCACACTGTGTCACATAAGGCATGTGAGCTGTCCGGTGAGACCAGCGCAGTGACAATCCAGGAGGACCTGCCGTGCGCAGCACAGAGGTTTCTCTGGGGGCGCTGAGGGTCCCATCGCCACGGCCTGCAGGGCGGCGTGAAGTAGCCTCCGCTCACCAGGCCACGGAGCTGCTCCAGGCGAACCTGTGTGACAGGGTGAGGCTTGTGGTTAAACGTGCATGGCAATCGGAGTTCTCGTACATCCCCTCCCTGTAACCGCCCATCGTGGACGCCTGCGTCAGTGCACGTGGTACGAGCCAGTGCCGATCCACGCCGTCCCCGGCCCGTGGCTGACATCAGGGTCTCGCTCGGGGCCCAGGCCACGGGCTTTGGCAAATGTGTGGTGACGTGTCCACCGGCAGCATCCACAGAGCCGTTTCAGGCCCTGACACGCCCTGCACGCCACCTGCTCGCCCCTCCGCCCTCTCCCCGGACCGCTGGCAGCCACGGAGCTGCTCCCGGCTCCCTAGTTTTGCCTTTTCCAGAATGTTCCAAGGCCGGGATCTTACCCCTTTGTAGCCATACCGTGGCGTGTGGGGATGGCTTCGTTTTGGACGCGTGGCAGTAACTGGTTGGTCGTGTGGGGCCTTTCCACCCCGGCTTCCTCCCTGCCCGCTTGTGGCTGGAGGACTCACTCTTCACGCTGGATGACCCTCCACTGCGTGCACGGACCTCGCACCCAGCCGCCTCCTGCTGAGGGCAGGCTGCCCGGCGGGGCCGTTGTGAGGTTGTGAGGCTGTGAGGGCAGCGGCGTGGGCTCCGGGCGGGCTGTGAGCTCCTGTGCGGTCAGCTCCTCAGGGGGAGCAGCCGGAGCACAGCCGCTGGGTCCTGCGGTCGCAGGGTTTGGTCCTGAGAAACCACAGACCTTCATAGGGTCAGTGCCATCTGCATCCCCACCTGGGATCGCGCATTCCTGCGGCTCCACATCCCCCCAGCAGGGGGCGGGGTTCAGCCTTCCTAACAGGTGTGCAGGCCTCCAGTCTGTTTGTTTTTTAAAATTTGTTTTTATTGATCTCAGGAGGAAGCGAGAGGGAGAGAGAGAGAATCATGGATCCACTGACTCCTGCCTGTCCCACATTGGGGATGGAGCCCGCAACCCGGGCCTGTGCCCTGACTAGGAATCGAACCCTGACCTCCTGGCTCATAGGTCGGCGCTCAGCCCCAGAGCCACACGGCCAGGCTCAAACCCGGCTCAAACCTCACCTGCTGGACGGGCTCCTGGATGGTGCCACCGGAGCGTGGGCCCGCGGCCGCCAGTGGGCCGGTGCCCGGCGCTGCCCGAGGGCATCCTGCCGCCCGGGGTCACGCTGTGTGTGCCAGCCGCGGGCACAGCCAGCCCGACTGGGTCATGCTGAGACATTCCTGCCGTGTGACGCAAGCCTGCTGTATTTTGGGTTTGCCAGGACTAACGAGGGAGAGCATTTGGCCTCGCCGCGGCCGCTGTTCATCAATGCCTCTGACAGGAGGAGGGCTGCGCCCGCCCTGCTTTTTCTAGAAGCATGACCGCATCCCGGCTGTCGGGGCGGCGAGGGCAGGAGGGGAGCGGAACAGGAGGCCGGGGGACGCGGGTCTGGGACAGCAGGTAGCGGAGCGGCGGGCAGCTGTCGCTGCGGCTCAGACGGCCAGCGGCCGCGGCAGGTGCAGGCTCCGCGTCTCTGTGCACAAAGGCGCCGGGCGGCCAGCAGAGCTGCCCTGGACGACAGGAGGGCACACTCCCCGCCGAGTGAGGTAAGGAACAGGTGTGCCCGCTGCTCACCGGGCGCGGCAGCCGCCTGGCCGGCTCGGCCGCCGAGGAGGGATGGGGAGGCATCTGCTCTGGGCCCCTGTGGTCCTCGCTGCGTCCAGACGTGGCGGCCGCCGCCCGGGGGCACAGATGTCTCGGTGCCGGGAGAAGCCGGGTGTCTGGGGGCCGCCTCCCTGCCCTCTCGGACGGACGCACAGAGCCGGCACGCTCTCAGTACCAGGCGTGCCGGGAGCCCCGGCCGGGAGGGAGCCCAGCACACATCCTCAGACATTGTGATAGCGTGGTTTGAGGACCGAGACATTTTCCTTTTAGCCACAAGGTCCAGGGTATTTTTGTTGTTGTTTTTTTTTATAGTTTGTTTTGTTAAATTGGAGGCAGTCTGTTCCATGCCCAGGAGCAGGTGGCTAACAGGACACTGGATGCTCAGCAGACCGGGCTGCACGGGAATGAGCATCAGGACTGAGGAGACACTCATGTCACCCTGTCCCCACGCTGGATGTCTCGTGTCCTCCTCCTTTCTCACTCAGCAGGAGGGACGGGTGCCCCTGGAGTCCTCACTGTCAGGCGTGGGACATGCATGGGCCAGGCGTGGTTCTTACTTCTCAACAAGCAGTTGCTGTGTCTCCCCCCCAAGCTGAACGAGGAGGCCAAAAGCCCGTTTTCTGTCCACATTGTGGGCAAGACGGTCCCGTGCACATCACGTCTCGGACGCACAGACATATGTACGCCTTCGCTTTGGCTCTATAAATAATCGCGAAAACAAAACCCAATGTTCTGGGCACTATTTTTAGGTGGAGAAAAGTTATGGGAAAGACTCAGGGCCCTGCTTGTGAGAAAATGCGCTGCCGAAGTGGTTCCCACAGCCCGGGGAGGGCGGCTGGACGATGATTTATATTTTGCCGTTTTTGGAGACATTTTCCTTAAAATATCCTGCAGCGTTTTCTCGGTTTGCTGTCTACATGGGAAGGAAAGTAGAGGGTTTAGGGGAAATAAAAATAGAGACTAAAAATAAAGACGTTAAATATATATACTTAAGGAGCAGAGATATTTATAACAATATCTCTTCCTGGTGCCCGTGAACAAAAATGATCACACCTCTTGGTTCAGACGTATTTGGGCTGAATTGTCTTACTATAACCAATGTACGTGCCCACCTGAGCCCAGCTCGTCTGCAGGATATTTTCCTGTTCGTCTGCCCTCCATTATGAATTAAATGGTAATGCAACGGGGGAGGTGGAACATCAGGATGGTTGCAGGCTTTGTGTTTTATATCGTGCACTTAAGACATGAAACCTAGAGATGCTGACAGATCTACAGGGAGGGCGTCTGATGTTTATGAGTGTGACATGAGTGTCTGATGTTTATGAGTGTGACAGGGTGACATGAGTGTCTCCTCCTCAGTCCTGATGCTCATAGCACGCCAGTGGAATGTTTTAAAACAGTCCTTGGTCTTTTTCAAAGGATTCCCCGGTGCGTATCCTTTGCCTCCTGATCAGTAATTCACGTCCCGTAGTCCTTCGAGCCCAGTCTAATGACAGTCCCCTCAATTAAAAATGAGCTGTCAGGGAGAAAGGATGTGACAAAGTCCAGTATACTTCACTCCAGATGTCTGCTTCCGAACCCACATTTCTGTGTCCGAAGAGGGACTGTAAACGGGCCGGGACACTGGATGCAGGCAGGCAGGCCGGGGGCCGGGAGCATCTTCTCCGAGAGAGCGGCGCCTCCCCAAGGGCCCCCATTGCCAGGCCCCCGGCTGCGACCTCGGTGACGGTGCCTCTTGTCCTGCAGCTGGAAGACCCGGGGGAAGGCCGCGCCGGCGCCCACATGCTCAGCACCGCCAGGGTTCCTGCGGACCGGCCAGTGCGCATCGCCTTCAGCCTCGGCCAGGCCTCAGGTGCGCCCTCCGTCCGCGCCCCTCCCTGTGTGCGCCCACGGCTGGGCAGTGTGCCGCCGACCTTGACCTCAGGGCGGCCCGTGCAGTGTGCCGCCGACCTTGACCTCAGGGCGGCCCGTGCAGGTGCTGCCGGCCGACCTTGACCTCCTGACCTCCTGACTTCCATCAGGTCCCAGCTGGGTGGCTTTCCCCATTGCCTCTAAAGGCGGGAGCTTCCCCATCTCTCATTTTTTGTCAGTTTAGTCCGTTTTCTCTGCTTTTCTTCCTTCCCCACTTCAGCTTTCTTTTGCTGAGAGTCATGGGCTAACTCTCCGACAATAGCAAAGCAGGTTTGTTGAGAGCGGGCGGGTGGTGGGTGTGAAATACGCTGTCTCTGCTCCAGCAGCATTTTCTGCTGCTGAGCTGCTGGGGGCTCCCTCACTTCCCACACGTAGAGTGAGGGGTGGGAGGTGAGGGGGTGAGGCACGAGGTGCCTGGACAGGTGCAGCGGGGTGAGGCATGGGCAGGTGAGGGGGGTGGTGTGTGGGCAGGTGAGGGGGGTGAGGGGGTGATGTGTGGGCAGGTGAGGGGGGTGAGGGGGTGATGTGTGGGCAGGTGAGGGGGGTGGTGTGTGGGCAGGTGAGGGGGGTGGTGTGTGGGCAGGTGAAGGGGTGATGTGTGGAAGGTGAGGGAGGTGTGTGGGCAGGTGAGGGGGAGTGATGTGTGGGCAGGTGAGGGGGTGGTGTGTGGACAGGTAAGGGGGGTGAGGGGGGTGATGTGTGGGCAGGTGAGGGGGTGCTGGTGGGCAGGTGAGGGAGGTGTGTGAGCAGGTGAGGGGGGTGGGAGGTGAGGGGGGTGAGGGGGTGGTGTGTGGAAAGTGAGGGAGGTGTGTGGGCAGGTGAGGGGGTGCTGGTGGGCAGGTGAGGGAGGTGTGTGAGCAGGTGAGGGGGGTGGGAGGTGAGGGGGGTGAGGGAATGGTGTGTGGAAGGTGAGGGAGGTGTGTGGACAGATAAGGGGGGTGAGGGGGGTGATGTGTGGGCAGGTGAGGGGGTGCTGGTGGGCAGGTGAGGGGTGGTGTGTGGACAGGCGAGGGGCCTCTTCAGGGCGGGGGTGAGGAGGTTGCCTGCATGGAGCCGGCGTCCCCCGCCCTCAGGGACTCCTCACACGCCTGGAGTCGCACCCCTTGGCCGGACCTCGGGGTGTGTCATGGCAGTGACCAGGGAGGCTCGCATGTCCACGCGTGTCAGCTGTCGCCCTCAGCCAGGGTCGTATCTGTGCGCAGCATACACAGGGCGTCCCCCAAATGCACATACATGTTGAATAGCTAAAGGCAATGCTTATTACAAACCACTTCATCTCCAGAGCGAGGCATCAGCTATGAGAGTGTGTGTACGTTCTGGGGCACACCCTGTATGTGGTGTGTATGGTGTACATGTGTGCACACACTTGTACATGTGTACACACATGTGTAATAGGTAGGCCTAGGCACAAACACCATGGCCACCGAGACCTGTCTTTTGAGGGCTGGTTCCTCTGTCTTCCCATCCATCTGCCCTTGTCTCCCCGTCACCCCCTCCTTCCGGGGTGCCCACACGGTGCTCCTGGGACAGTGAGTGACCGAAGGGGCATTCACCCCCACGAAGCCACATGAGGGGCTGGGCCCGCTGTCCTGACCTGCGGAATGGGCACCTCTCACAGGGCACCCGCCATCCGCCCACCTTTCTTCAACGGTGCCCAGATGGAGGCAGGTCTGCAGCCTGGCGTGCGCATAGTGGGGTGCACCCTGGGAATCCAGGTCATGCGTCAGGGCTGGTGTGCGCATAGTGGGGGCGCTTCCTGGGATCCGGTTCACAAGGGCAGCAATGCCCTCCTCACACTGTGCTGCCCTTTGGACTCCAGTGTGTGTGGCAGACGCACCCCATGTTCAGGGGACGCACCCCGACTTTCACAGGACGTGGGACAGCCAGGGTGGACCTTAGGCAGCAATTTCATGGCCTTGAGCTGATGGTTGAGGATAAGCAGAGCCGTGAGAAAAGGACTCCTTTTGCCTGGGACTGTTGACTTGTTCATGTCTTAGGAGCCTAATAACGGGCTCATTCCCTCAGCCGTGTTAGGTCTGTTTTTCTACTTTCTCCTCCTCCTTCCCCTCTCCCTCCGTTCGATTCCTGGTCAGGGCACAGGCCCGGGTGTGGGTTGGATCCCCGGTGTGGGGCGTGCAGGAGGCAGATTCCCTCTCGCCACTGATGTTTCTCTTGTCGCTCCCTCTCCCTTCCCCTCTAACATCAATAAAACATTTAGGAAAGTGAGAGCAGGGCGGCCCGGGGTGGGGTGACGGAGGAAGGCCAGTTCTGAGGTTTTGGAGGAAGAGAGGAGGGACCTGGGAGCACGTTTTACCTGATGGTAATGCCTCCCATGGACTCTGTGAAGCAGGTGTTTCTGGGTAAGGGTGCGCTAAGCTGAGTTAGTGAGGACGTTCTCACAGAGGATGATGGGTAAGAGTCACAAAACGATGGCGGCAATAACGGCGGCCAGAGCATGGCTCCAAAGAAGAGACAAAGCCGCCTCAAACTGGTCCCATCCCCGTGGGGACCACACCGTCTGTTTGACGCTCGACCTTGTTGGCCTGATGGTGCCAGTGCTGGCTGAGGTCACATGACGATTGATATCGATACCAATAATAACGACAAAGAACTGGCAGTCTGCCCAGGGCCATGCCACGTCCCGACCTGTCCCTGTCTCTACCCTGCACCTGATTCTCTGCAGCTGAGACCTCGTGGGCAGTACGGAGTGCAGGCCTCTGAGGCCCCGAACGCAGGAAACAGGTTTAAAAAGCTTTTGATGTGGTTCAGAGCGGCGTGACTTTAACAGAAGCCGTTTGACGTATTATTCACGCGGGTCGGCAGCCTTGGAGCACGTATTTTACTTCCATAAATAAAGCATCCATCTCAGTTTAGATTGGAAAGTGCCCGAAGCCCTTGTGTGCACCTGTGAAATTTGGGGCGACATTTCTCGTAGAAAGCGTTTGCTCGATGGGAGGGTGTCAGGGAGACCGTCCCACGCTGAGGTTTGGACGGAAAGAGCAAACACCAGGACCAGCGACACCCCCTCATGGCCCGGAGACGAGGAGGCAGGGCTTGTCCTCTCTGTTCTCTGCCGAGGAAAAGGGACCGTCCACCCCGTGGGCCGCAGGCCTGCACCCCCCACCTTACCCCTTTGGTCCGACTGATGGGGAACGGGAACGGGAGCTGACCTGGTGGTATTAAGCACTGGTTGTTATCATTGGAGTGTCTGGTCCTGAGGCAGGAGGAGAGAACTGTGTCTCAGAGAGGTCATGTCAATTCTCCCCACTGGGAAAGCCGAAGGCTTCCGTGCAGGCCTGTCCATGACCTGTCCACGGCCTGTTGCATGGACACGCCGTGTCCTCAGTGTCAGGCCTTCTGAGGCAGAGGTCCCGGGGAGTGTGTTTGCGTGAGCCTGGGCACTGGCTTGCCTGTGAGTGTGTGTCCCTGAAGGACAATCTTCGGGACACCAGCCGGGCCCATGGCAGGCAGGACCAGCTGCAGGGCTGTGGGGGCTCGGGGTCAGGGATGTGGGGTCTGCAGACGGAGGGCCTGAGGAGCAGAGGCCCCGCAGGGTAAGCAGGTGGACGGGAGGGCGTGTGAGCAGGGGGCCCTCAGGCTCCCGGCTGGGAGGGAAGAAGGTGGCTGTCCCCTGAGCCGGCTCCCCAGGGGGTCCTCATGAGGAGTGGGTTTCCTGGCCCCCGAGTGTGCCTGGGTGGGGACCGCATGGGGTCGGCAGGCGGCCGGCAGAGCAGGGGCTCCGACGCCGTGCACACCTGCTCGGTTTGGGCCGAGTTGTCATCTCTCAGATGTAAAACAGGAAATGAGGACTCAGCAACGAGGACTTCTGTCCTGAGGATGCTGACTACACGGTCCCCAGGGTCTGGGGGGAGCTGCTGGGGCTCCGAGCGTGTGTGCCGTGGGGGCAGGGACCAGAGGGAGGAAGTCAGAGGGAGGTGAGAGCCCCGGGCGGGACACTCCGGCCTCTGCACCCAGAGGCTGGTCAGATGGCCGCCGGCGCCTCCCAGAGTGCAGGTCCAGTTACTGCGGAGGGGGAGGATCTGGTGACAGACCCCACGGCCCCACGTACGCGGTTGTTTAGGGACAGAACAGCCCTGGCTGGTGGATAGAGCATCTGCCTGCGGATTTAAGAGTCCCAGGTTCGATTTCGGTCAAGGGCATGTACCTTGGTTGTGGGCACATCCTCCGTAGGGAGTGTTCAGGTGGCAGCTGATGGATGTTTCTCTCTCATCAATGTTTCTAAGTCTCTATCCCTCTCCCTTCCTCTCTGTAAAAAATCAATAACCTATACTAAGAAAAAAAAGGGACAGGACAGCCGGCAGCTGCTTGGTGGGCCGAGATGACGTCCAGGGCACAGGGGACGGACGTGGCAGAAGCTCTGTTTTAGGTGCCGCTGACTTAGTCCCATCGCCTGCTCCACTCAGCGACCATCTGCTTGTCCACACTTCGCTCTAATCCCTCCTAGAGTTCATCCTCAACGGTTCCCACCTCCCCCGTCTCCCCTGCCCCAGTGTGTCCACCAAGCCCACTGCCCCCTTTTGAAAAGGGAGCCTAGGAATGATTTCCTCAAAACGTTAAAATACGATAAAGTGATTTGCCGATTTAGCCTAGAGCCCTTGTCACGGCATTCAATCGATATTTGGTAAATAAATTTTTTAAAAAGTAAGTTTTTATTGATTTCAGTGAGGGGGGGGGGAGAAACATCAATGAAGAGAATCGGGCAAATTAGTAAATTTTAATCAGATATGCTTGCATCCGATCTTCTTACATTCTAAAGAAACTTGGAGGCTGCTTTTCTTCTTTAAAAAAGGGAATTGCCGGGGGGTGGGGGGGAGCCGCCGGCTTCGCTACTGTACCGGCACCTCGGCTTCCGGAGTCCACGGGCTGTGCTCTCAGGAGCCAAGGCCCGCGCTGGGCCAGGTCCACAGCTGTGTCCCGGCTGAGTCACCGCCCTCTCCCCCCGCCGGCGTGACTCACCGCTCCGCTTTTAGCCGATTCGCCTATTTTAAAACCCGCTGGCGCGGACGGCCACTGTTTGGAGTAAACAGGCCACACATCCCGGGCCTGGCGCTGCCTGCGGCCGGGCTGCCAAGGCAGCAGATGGCCCAGGCTCCCGCTGGCGCGCCTCCTCACATCTGCCTGTGGTTTTCTCGCCGCCGCTGCCACTTCCTGCTGGGATTAATCCCACTTGATTCGCTTTTAAAACCAAAGCCCGGCTCTCCCTCTCTCTTCCTCTCTGTAAAACATCAATAAAATATATATTTTAAAAAACAAAAACACTAGTAAGAGAGAATCATTGGCCAGCTGCTTCTTGCACGCCCCACCCTGGGGATGGCCTGAGCCCTGACTGGGAATCGAACCCTGACCTCCTGGCTCAGAGGTGGATGCTCAGGCACTGAGCCACACTGGCCAGGCTGTTCTTTTTTGTTAATTCTCATCAGAGGATATTTTTTCAATTGATTTTTTAGAGAGCATGAAAGGGAAGGAGGAAGGGGAGAGAGGAAACCACTGAGATGAGAAAGACACAGTGATTGGTTGCTTTCCACGGCCTGGCATCAGACCTGCCATCCAGGTGCGTGTGCTTGACCGGGAACCAACCCTCCCCCTCACCCCACCCCCCCCCCCCGGCCGTCACGCTAACCACTGGGCCTCCATCCAGGGCCAGACCCTTTTACATCGGAGAACAACCAGGACATTTGTGCAACTCTGGTCCCGGCCGCCTCGGCTCGGCCGCTGTGTGTGCTGGCTGTGATGCCGCTGTCCTCCGCGTCCGCTCCGTGTCCCGCCGGAGGGCAGACCAGGGGGGGCGGGGCGGCGGCTCAGCCGGGGAAGGGTCCAGAGTGACCGTCTGACCTCCCCTTCCAGATGGCGCCCCTCCGGAGGACCCCGCGCTGCTCTTCCCGGAACTAGACCAGCAGCTGCAGGTGAGGCTCTCCGCGCCCCCTCCTCCTCGCTTCACAGCCCGGAGCTGGGCCGAGGCCGGAGGCAGACAGAGGCCAGGCCCCGGCGCGCCTGCCTGTGGCCTCAGCACCAACCGGCTGGGACATGCAGAGGTGCCGGCAACTGTGTGGGAGGGGGGCGGGAGGAGGGGCCCTGGGCCTGGGACGTGCCGTCCACCCCTTTGTCTGGGCCACGCAGCGTCCACTCCCCTTTGGGCCACGCACAGGCTGCAGGTCATTGCACAGGTCGAGGTCATTACATGGGTCACAGGTCATTGCACAGGCTGAGGTCATCACACAGGTTGAGGTCATTACATGGGTCACAGGTCATTGCACAGGCTGAGGTCATCACACAGGTTGAGGTCATTACATGGGTCACAGGTCATTGCACAGGTTGAGGTCATCACACAGGTTGCAGGTCATTACATGGGTCACAGGTCATTGCACAGGCTGAGGTCATCACACAGGTTGAGGTCATTACATGGGTCACAGGTCATTGCACAGGTCGAGGTCATTGCACAGGTTGAGGTCATTGCACAGGCTGAGGACATCACACAGGTTGAGGTCATGCATAGGTTGAGGTCATTACATAGGTCACAGGTCATTGCACAGGTCGAGGTCATTACACAGGTTGAGGTCATTGCACAGGTTGAGGTCATTGCACAGGCTGAGGACATCACACAGGTCGAGGTCATTGCGAGGCCAGCCCAGGCTCACATCCTGCGCATGGACATCTGCTCAGTCACCACGTATTTTCTCTAAACATTGCGTCTGAAAGTCCCTGGAGGGGCTGCAATCTCCAGGTCCCAGCAGCCCCGGCGTTTCCTCGCACCCAGCGCAGTCCCCCCAGACTGGGCCTGTCCCTGGAGGCACTGGAGTTGGAGACCCAGAGCCCTCGGTGGCAGGAAGAACAGGATGGCCTGGTCACCCACCTGGTGTCCCCCTCCTCGGCCAGTTCTCACCCGGAGCCCGTGCCAGAGCTGGCGGCCCGGACGCTGTGGTGCCCTGCGGTGGCCTCTGGAGGGCCTTCCCCAGCCGGCCGGGCCCTGTCTGCCCAGCAGGGCGGTGTCGGGGTGGAGATGCCGGAGGTCGCCCAGGATGTGGGGTCGCAGGAGGCACACTCGCTGTCCGAAGGCTTCTCTGTTCTCTCGAGTGTCCCCTGCACCCCCAGCGCCCGCCTCCGGCTTCCCCTCGTCCCCTGCGGGACCTGCCGCCCGCCCCTGCCTCCTGGTGTCCACACATCCCCTTTCCTCTCCTCACATCGCTCTGCCTGCGTTCCGTCCGCCCCACACGTGCTCCCGCTGGGCCTCGGGCTGTCCGGCTGCCGGTGGTCTGGCCGGGGAGGCGAGACAACAGCCATCCTGGCCCCTGTCACAGTCCTTTCTGCTGGAGCTCACTGCCGTCCAGGCTATTTGATGGGCCGGCTGTGTTCCCAGAGCATTGGCCCCTGGACCAGAAGGGTGTGGTTCAATTCCCGGTCAAGGGCAGGGACCTGGGTTGCAGGTTCGATCCCCAGCCCAGGTCAGGGTGTTGCGGGGGCAACTAATCGTGTTTCTCATGTTGATGCTTCTCTCTCTCCCCCTCCTCCTTCTCTCTCTCCCCCTCCTGCTTCCGACCCTGCTGTGGAGCCTGTGGTCGCTCATATTGCTTTGATAGGTGTATGGGTTTTTGTTTGTTTCTGGTTTGCAAGGGCTCATGGCATGGTCGTAGAACAACCTCATAAAACCTGTTCTGACTTTCTGAGAGCTCACACATTCCACAGTCACTCACAGAACTCGGCTGTAAAATATCCACGTGGTGGATCCTCCACCACCATCTGACCCCCAGGGTTTCTGTGACTTTGCCAAGAATGTGGACATGTTTGAGCATGAAATGTGTGGCGCTTCTATTTCCACAGAAGCCCAAAACAGCCCCAGGCAAGAATAGCCGTGACCGACACCGCTCTTGATGTCTCTATTAATGCAAGAGGCTGGGCAAGAGGGCCCGGGCACGGCAGGTGTGAAAACGCACATCCCTCCATGAAATTCATTTATGGCCCACGGGCCTCGGCCAGGGGCAGGTGGTAGGTTGGTTCTATTTTGTGTGGATTCCTTTCCTGGAAATGGGTTTCTAAATCCTCCACGCCCATCAGAGGCCGGGTGTGGGCCAGCGCGTTGAGGCCATGCAGAGGCCAGTTGAGTCCACTTCTAAGAATGAATGAAAAGTCTTCAGGCCCCCGTGTCCTTCCGTTTGGAAAAGGTCACGCTGACTCCTCTCTCTGGAAAGACAGGGCTGGAATGTAACAAGGTCAGGACCGAATTTGCCTTCAAATCTAGTCACGCTGCGCTGTGTTTGGGAGACCACGGAATGGCTTGTGGATGCTGCAGAGCTAGGCCGCAGTGGGGTCTTGATTATGAGCCCTGGAACACGGAACCCGTTTTTTAAAATTTTTATTTTAAATATATTTTATTGATTTTTTTTTTTTTTTTTTTTTTTTTTTTTTTTTTACAGAGAGAAAGGGAGAGGGATAGAGAGCTAGAAACATCAATGAGAGAGAAACATCTATCAGCTGCCTCCTGCATACCCTCCACTGGGGATGTGCCCGCAACCAAGTACATGCCCTTGACCAAAATAGACCCCGGGACCCTTCAGTCCGCAGGCCGACACTCTATTCACGGAGCCACCGGTTTCGGTAGGAACCCGTTTTTATAACCGGGTGTCGGCTAAGCTCACGAGTAGTTGCTGATGGGATCAGGTGTGGCGTTGGCCTGGCCAGGACTGGCGCTCAGCTCCACCCCTGCTTGCTCTGTGCCCCGGGGAATGAGGGCACTCACTCTCTAAGCCTCGCTCCTGGAGCTGCAGCCGAGACGATGCCACGCCCGCATCACCGTGGTGGGATCGGCTGTGTGATGGAGCGGCTGGGCACAGAGCTTGGCCAGACCAACGCTCAGCTCAGCTCATGCTAATTCTCCTCCCTAACGAGGCGCTCACTGAGTGAGGCATCGAAGGTTGTACAATCATGTGTCCATGAAACAGGACGGTGGCAGGACACGCTGAGCTGGCCGCTCCTCAGATGGTGTCTGGTCCGTCCAGGGGCTGAGGTCACCTCCACAAATACACAGTGTGGACGGTAATATCCTGTTATCCGAGCAGTCCCTCCAGAAACTGCTTTTAGGTCTTGCATCAGTAGGTCCTGCTGGCTGGGGCAGGAAGCTAGGACACGGAATGGAAGTCAGCCTTCCAGGGTTCTCCACCATCCAGCAGAAACGGCTGCTTTTCCCTCTCAGACACGCTGATCAGCACCTTGTGGAGTCTGAGGCTGCTGTGTTAATTCTTTTTCCACGAAGTTAACCGACACAGAGAAAATACACATAGATCTTTGGACTCTATCATGGTGCCTTCTGTCCTTGGTCAGTGGGATATGCCTTGTAGGAAAACTTTGAGATACTCTTTTTAAAAAATATACATTTTTAAAATTGATTTTAGAGAGAGAGAGAGAGATAGAAAAATCAATGATGAGGGAGAATCATTGATTGGCTGATTCCTGCATGCCTCCTACTGGGGACCGAGCCTGAAACCCAGCCATGTGCCCTTGGCTGGTATTGAACTGAGGACCCTACAGTCTGCAGGCTAGACCCACAAATTTCAGCCAAACCAGCTAGGGCAAGGGACACTCTTGAGTTATCACCCTGTGGTATTGCTTATGCCAACAGGAATGACTTAAATAGTCTTCGTTCCGATGTTATATAAGGGACGCTGCACATTTACTAGTGCTGACCTTGACCATCATGTAGATGTTATAAAATGTTGGTTCTTAAAATGTTTAAAAAAATATTTAAAACTCTAGACAACAGCATTTCCAAATATTACAATTTTTGCTGAGTATTTTTTTCCATTTAGTTTTAACAAATTATGCTTCTTAATTTAGGGCCATTAAGGTGCCACATAGCCTTAGCCAGTTTGGCTCAGTGGCTAGGGCACTGGCCTGTGCACGGACGGGTCCAGGGTTTGATTCGGGTCAATGGCTTGATCCCCATTAGGGGAGGCAGCTGATCAATGATTCTCTCTCATCATTGATGTTTCAATCTCTTTCAACCTCTCCATTCCTCTCTTAAATCAATAAAAATACATTATAAAAATAAAGTGCAACATAAATTTAAACCACTCTGCTCCCCCCCGCCCTCCAAATGAAAGGTAACATCGAGAATTAAGGAATAAATATGAAGCCTGCTTAGCAACCATAGAATATTTAGCTCCCTAAATATACCTCCCATGTGGGAAGCTGGAGAGGAGAGTCAACTGCTTACATGTTCGAGGTGGAGGGGCCAGTAGGTAGTCCTGGAAGGAGCCAAGGAGAAAACGGAAACACTGAAGCTGGCCCCGCCCCTGCGGAGAGGTTTGGCAGGGCCTGTCCCCCGGGGCGGTCCAGGGCCTGGGGCCATCGCAGGAGGCCGCTGCCCTGCACCGAGCCCGCGGACAGCGAGCGAGCGGGCGGGTGGCTGGGCTGGCACTCCCGGGCCAGCGGCCTGCGGTTTCTGTTACTTCATCTCGTTAAATCGGGCCGAGCCGTGGGTGGGGCTCACCTCACCGCCTGTAATTAAAGCCCCTGGAAGCCCGTCCCAGCAGCTGGGCAGGCGGGTGGGGAGGGCGGGAGGAAGTGCCCTCCAGGGCTCTGACCTCACGCAAACCCGGGCTGTGTCTTGGAAAAGTGTCCCCGCATTGGCCTGAGACGCCGTTAGGAGAACGTCTTAATTTAACCTTCTGAGGACCGGACGTGTGGAGTGGAACAGGTGCCCGGGCCTGGGTGGGTCTGCACAGTTTGTCCCGTGGTCCGCGCTCGGTGTGTGCGCTTGTCCGTGAGGGTGCCTCTGCTGTCAGGGATCCACAGCTCCCCTTTCTGGGGATGCGATACTGCACGCCCCAGGCAGGTGCGCGTTGGGGAGAAAATAAGAACTTCTCCTCCTCATTCTCATCCCCACAGAGAGTTTATTTATTGCTCGTGCGCTCCCAGCCCAGAAATAACTACAAAGACCTCTCAGATGAGAAGAGTTAAAATTAAGCAATGAGAACGGAGGCAAAAATAAAAGTGTTAATTCTTCTTCCACGAAGTTAACCGACTATTTCATCCGGTCACCAGGGCTTTCTGTGAAGATGCTTTTAGGTTTATAGTGTGGACATGTGTTAGTATCTTAAGCTCATGGGGGCCAGTTAACTCCCCCATGCCCATGTTCTACGCATCACACGACAGAAGCTTGCTGGTCGCTCTGCTTTCAAAGTGGAAACTTGATTCTGGTGCTTGAATTTCAGGAATCTGTTTCCTCAGGCAAATCTGTCCATTTGCCTGAGGAAACACTGTTGGCCACACACACTGAGTCGTTAGATGACGATGATCTCTGAACGCATAATCATTTGGCCACTCAGTGTCTATCCGATATAATAAAAGGCTAATATGCAAATTGTCCCCTTGACCAGGAGTTTGACCAGCAGGCAGATCGACCAACTGTCCATATCCCCTCCACCTGGCCAGGCTGGCCGTACCCTACCCATGCACGAATTCATGCACCAATCCTCTAATATAAATATATATATACCGAGTGGCCAGATTATTATGCATTCAGAGGCAGCAGATCAATGATTCTCTCATCATTGGTGTTTCTGTATCTCTCTCCCTCTTCCTTTCTCTCTAAAATAAATAAAAATTATATATATATATATATATATATATATATATGCACATATATGTGTATATGTATATCTATAACAGAACCCGTGAAAAAATCCCAGTTAATAAAAAGCTAAGGGGAGTGGGGGAGGAGCCTTTCTCTTCTTAAGAAAATTATGCCTAATTTTCAGTTTTCCTTTTACATCGTGGCAGCAAAGGGCAGTTCCCCTTTATTGTGACTGCTCTGGTCTGCAGCCCCAGGGCCCTGGAACCTTTTGCCATCACATAGGTAACAGCTGACTCTGCGGGTCAGACTCCTATGGTGGCAAGTTACTGACTGACCCGGGTGTGGTCTGCAAGCTTCACGAGGCCAGGACACAGGTGCACGGCGTCTCAGGCTCCCCACACGCCACCCCTGCAAGGCCTGGGCCCTGACGCGCAGCTCAGCTGCCCAGAGCAAATTGCTTTCATTCTCCTTACTGCGATCCCTGGTCATTTGCCAGTGGAACAGGTGAGAATTGATGAGCTGGTGAGTTCAAGGGCAGACTGGGAGGGCCAGGAGCTCTGGATTCCTCTGGCGGCCGCTCTCTCTGGCAGGGTGAGCCGTGCTGTAGGCCTGCCCGGCCCGACTTTCCAGCTCATGGCCCTGCTGGAAGCCCAGGGCGCGAAAGCGTGTCAGCCTTTGGTCATTAAGGTGTTAGAGCCACAGGCCTTTTATAATATAGATAGAAAGGGGTTGTCCCAACAGCCTGAGCCCACGCTGCGAGTGTGTCCATGGGCGAAACGGAAAGATGCTACAGAATGGAATTTTTATTACATTTACAATTGATTAGGACACTACAGATGTTCCACCGGAAGGTACATTTCCTCCAAATCTATTTCAAAAATCTACTTCTTCTAAAAGGTCTCTACTCAGAGGCCTGGGGATAAATGAGGAGAGCCGTCTCAGTCACCCGCCCGCCAGACAATAAACTCTATAGAATTTCTACTGTGCCTGGTGGGGTCCCCGACTCTGACACCCAGAAGGTCCGTGTTCTTGCAGAATGTAGTGCGAGGTGCAGCAGTGAGACCTTCACTCGTTCCCAAGTCACCAACGCGGAAAAGGTGAGCACACGACCGGGCAGACACGCAGCTCACACGCCTAGGCCGTGGTGAGACAGAAGAGCCTGCAATGTGCCTATTTCTCAGCTATCATATAACATTTTTTTCTAGAAGTAATTGAAAGGGGTGATTTTAAAAGCTACTTAAAAGACTAGTAATGAGAGTTTCTAAAAATAGTGATTTTAATAACCTGTTGCTAACTGGAAATCCAAATTATAAACTCAGGAAAGCCAGGCTTGTCCATGTGTTAGGGAGTGAGGTGGCCATGCTGCCTGTGTTTCATGTCCTCCCCTCCCCCTTCCTCCCCTCGGGCTGTGGGACAGACAGCTGGGGCCCACGCACACAGACCCGGAACCGCCCGTGGTGACTGTGTGTGGGGCTGCGTGGCTGGCTCTGGAAGGGGCGTGTGGGGCTGGTTCCGTCCAATAGACCCCGTGGGATGCTGCTGGCTCTGCTGTTCTCTGCCCAGCCCCCCAAGAACATGAAGGGCAGAACATGGACTGACTCCTCGTCTCGCTCCCAGCCCCTGCCGCCCAGCCATGACTCCCTGGAGTCCATGCAGGTCTTCCAGCAGCACTGCCAGATCGCTGAGGAGTACCGCGAAGTCCGCCAGGAGATCGCGCAGCTCGAGGAGAGGAAGTAGGTGCCTCTGCCAGCAGGTCCGGCTGCTGGGCCACAGGGGGTGGGCATGCGTTTTAATGTGTATTTTTATTCACTTCAGAGAGGAAGGGAGAGGGAGAGAAACATCAACGAGAGAGAATTATCGATCGGCTGCCTCCTGCACGCCTCCCCCTGGGGATGGAGCCGCAACCAGGCCTGTGCCCTGACCTGTACTCAAACCTTGACCTCCTGGTTCACAGCACAATGCTCAACCCCTGAGCCGTGCCCTCTGGGCTGCTTCTGGCGCTTTTGTAGCTGGTTGCCATCAGTAGTTACCCACTTCCGGTCTGTTCCCTGCAGACTCCATCCCAGCCCCCCAGTGGGAGCTGCACCCAGGGCGTGTGTGTGTGTGTGTGTGTGTGTGTGTGTGTGTACGCGTGTGTGTATATATATGTATGTGAGTGTGTATGTGTATGTGTGAGTGTGTGTATGTATATGTGTGTGTACGCTTGTGTGTATATATATGTATGTGAGTGTGTATGTGTATGTGTGAGTGTGTGTACATATATATGTGTGTGTGTGTACGCGCGTGTGTATATATATGTATGTGTGTATGTGTATGTGTGAGTGTGTGTGTATATATGTGTGTGTATGTGTGTGTATATATATGTATGTGAGTGTGTATGTGTATGTGTGAGTGTGTGTACATATATATATGTGTGTGTGTACGCGCGTGTGTATATATATGTATGTGAGTGTGTATGTGTATGTGTGAGTGTGTGTGTATATATGTGTGTGTACGTGTGTGTATATATATATATGTATGTGTGTATGTGTGTGTGTGAGTGTGTGTATGTGTGTACGCATGTGTGTATATATATGTGTGTGTACGCATGTGTGTATATATATGTATGTGTGTGAGTGTGTGTATGTGTGTACGCATGTGTGTATATATATGTGTGTGTACACGTGTGTGTATATATATGTATGTGTATGTGTATGTGTGTGTGTGTGAGTGTGTGTATGTGTGTGAGATTTAGAGTGGTTACTTATAGTGCTTATGGGAGACTGTAACAACCTCTGTGCACATATGTTATTTGGAATTTCTGTGGCCTGTGTCTAAAACACGGAGTTAATATCAGCAGTGAAGGCGAAGGCACATTGCTGGGCAGGAAGCATGGTCACATCTCCTGTGACAACAAGGAGATGGGTCCTGCCAGGGTCCCGGAGGGACGGGCTGTATCTGACGTTTGGAGGAGAGTGTCTTCCGTCACTTCCCGAAGGGGCCGCCCCAGTGAGGACGGTGAGTGCCCAGGGCCCAGGGCGTGGCCTGGTCCTCCAGGAGCCGGGCTTGCCGCCCTAGGCTGAGCTTCCTCCCTCCTCCAGCAGGGGTCGCCCGGGCCCCGTGTGGGAGGCTGCAGAGCCGCAGGGAGCTGGTGTAAACTCTGGTATTGAATAGGTGGACGTTTTTTACGTCATAAACTCCGCAGAGTGACTGTAAATGATTACTTCTGGCCCATTCACCAAGCACGTGAGAAAAGCCTGCGTTTACCTTTATTGGCATTTTTTCTTTTCAGTTGGGAAAAAGGGCAATTTTATTGAAAGCTTTTTAAAAAAATTACTAAGCATTCTTACATCTTTAGACAATTCCTGAGTCCGTTTATTTCTAGGCTTTTTTTTTTTTACACGTTTTGACAGGATCATTGGCTACATGGATAATTGCTTAGCAAACGCACGACACTAATTTAGAAACCTATCAATAAAGTCCTCCTGATTCTGGTAACTCCTGAGGAAGTACCAATTCTCATCATCCACGATGAGAGAGAATCACTGACCGCTGCCTCCTGGGATCCGGCTCACAGCAGGGCCTGTGCCCTGACAGGAATCGAACCGTGACCTCCAGGTTCACAGGTCGACGCCCAGCCCCTGCGCCCGCCGGCCGGGCTCACTGCATTGTTTGCGGTCCTGACTGAGGACTGAGCTGCTAGTCCCTCACGTCCCTCCGGTCCCTCGAGCCGCTTCCTGGTTCTCTACCTGCAGCAACAGGACAGACACGGCTCTGCGAACCGGCTGCAGGACGGACCTCAGGTCAGGGAGAGCGGTCGGGAGGGGGCGGGATTCTTAGTCCCAAGAGTTGGTGCTGATTTGTTCAACTCCGAACGGAGAGAGCGGGAAGGTGCCTGCCTCTGGGGGGAGCCTGAGGGCAAGCCCCGCTCCCCACCACGGGCACTGGGCACATCCTAACCGCAGCAGGTCTCCTGGGTCCCCCCAACTCATTGTCATTCTTTGCTGCACCCGTAAAAGGTCAGATCCTGAGGGCCGAAGGGTTCCTGGAGCGTTTTCTGGTTTGAGCGTCTCAGAGGCGCCAGGACCGAAAGGATCGGTGGCCAAGGCCTGGCCGGTGTAGCTCAGCGGTTGAGCATCGAGCCAGGAACCAAGAGGCCACGAGTTTGATTCCCAGTTTGATTCTGGGGCAGGGCACCTGCTTGGGTTGCAGGCGGCAGCTGATGGATGATGTCTCTCTCTCATCGATGTTCTTATCGTTGTCTCCTTCTCCCTTCCTCTCTCTCCAAAGAGCCCGTGAAAAAATATAACAAATAAAGGATCTGAGGCTGGGGAGGCCGGGCAGAGGGGGAGATGGGGAGCGGGCTCCTCTGTGCCTCTACACGCGTGCGTCTCAGCGTGTGCTCTCCGCTCCGCCCGCAGGAAGGAGCTCCTTGCGAAGCTGGCGCAGGCGGAGGAGGAGAAGGTGGACGCCGCCCAGCTGGCCCGGGAGTTCGAGGCGCTGACGGAGGAGAACCGCTCCCTGAAGCTGGCGCAGTCCCAGTGCGTGGAGCAGCTGGAGAAGCTCCGCGTCCAGTACCAGAAGCGGCAGGGCTCGTCCTAGCGCAGCGGCCCCTGCCCCCCCACCCCCCCATCCCCCACCCCCCCATCCCCCCACCCCCCCATCCCCCCATCCCCCCTCCGGGCCCCTGCCCCCCGCCATCCCCCCCTCCGGGCCCCTGCCCCCCGCCATCCCCCCTCCGGGCCCCTGCCCCCCGCCATCCCCCCCATCCCCCCTCCGGACCCCTGCCCCCCCATCCCCCCCTCCCCCCTCCGGGCCCCTGCCCCCCGCCATCCCCCACCATCCCCCCTCCGGGCCCCTGCCCCCGCCATCCCCCCCCCCGGGCCCCTGCCCCCCCATCCCCCCATCCCCCCTCCGGGCCCCTGCCCCCCCATCCCCCCCATCCCCCCTCCGGGCCCCTGCCCCCGCCATCCCCCCTCCGGGTCCCTGCCCCCCCATCCCCCCCCCATCCCCCCTCCGGGCCCCTGCCCCCCGCCATCCCCCCTCCGGGCCCCTGCCCCCCGCCATCCCCCCATCCCCCCTCCGGGCCCCTGCCCCCCCATCCCCCCCATCCCCCCTCCGGGCCCCTGCCCCCCGCCATCCCCCCCATCCCCCCTCCGGGCCCCTGCCCCCCATCCCCCACCATCCCCCCTCCGGGCCCCTGCCCCCCCATCTCCCCCATCCCCCCCATCCCCCCTCCGGGCCCCTGCCCTCCGCCATCCCCCCTCCGGGCCCCTGCCCCCCGCCATCCCCCTCATCCCCCCTCCGGGCCCCTGCCCCTCTCAACCCCCGCCATCCCCCTTCCGGGCCCCTGCCCCCCGCCATCCCCCCTCCGGGCCTCTGCCCCCCCATCCCTCCCATCCCCCCCATCCCCCCTCCGGGTCCCTGCCCCCCCATCTCCCCCCTCCCCCTCATCCCCCCTCCGGGTCCCTGCCCCCCCATCCCCCCCATCCCCCCCATCCCTCCCATCCCCCCCATCCCCCCTCCGGGTCCCTGCCCCCTCATCCCCCCCATCCCCCCTCCAGGCCTCTGCCCCCCGCCATCCCCCCTCCGGGCCACCCTCATCCCGCCGCCTCTGAGCCGGGCCTCTCTGAGCTGAGCCTCTCTGAGCCACGCACGTTGAGGTCTGGCCCCGGGAGGGAGATCGCACGTTAAATAAGATAACGAAAGCAAACCCACTGCCCCATGTGTATCACAATCTGTCCCCCTCGCGTTTCTTCTCAGTTGGAGACAGGACGAAAATGGGTATCGACGGGCTCCACTCACACAGGATCGAGCCACACGCCAGCAGGCGGTGCTCACCGTGCGGCTGCGCCTGTCACTGTCTCCCTGGCCGAGCAGAGCCTCCTGAGGCGCCCACGCCCACAGTCATCCCTCGCGGGGATTGTCCAGGGGTAAACGGGCGCGTGGCACCCTGCTTCCGCGAAAACGTCGGCGCGGGCCACGCCAAACGCACGGCGGTGGCTGCGGCCGAAGAGCAGGAAAAGGCCCGGAGCGCGTCCCCTCGCGGTGTCGGGGGCCCAGGAATCGGCGGGGAGAGTGGAGACGGTCTGGGGGAGTCCTCGGGAAGACATCAGCACGATGAGGGCGATTGCTCTGTTTGGGGGTTAATGAGGCGTTTGGGGTCGAAATTACGAATGGAAATATAAGCATAAATTCAGGATTCACACACGGTTCCCTCGTTCTGCTACCACCACCTGCCCCCTCAATCTCTTGTTTTGTGTCCGTTTCTATTCATGTACCTTCTTTTTCATTAAACACGATCAAAACCGCCCGCCTGCCTCCGGCCTTTCCTCACGACCTCGGCTCAGTCAGGCTGGTCCCACTCGCGGGATCTGCTCTGCGCGGGGCTGCAGGTGCCAAAGCAGCAAACCCTTTCCTGGGCAGGTTCCCCTCCTGCAGGTCCCCCGTCTGTCAGGTTCCTGGTCCCCCCTCTGTCAGGTTCCCCCCCTGGCAGGTCCCCCCCCTGGCAGGTTCCCCCTCTGTCAGGTCCCCCCTCTGTCAGGTTCCCCCTCTGTCAGGTCCCCCCTCTGTCAGGTCCCCCCTCTGGCAGGCCCCCCTTCTGTCAGGTCCCCCTTCTGTCAGGTTCCCCCTCTGTCAGGTCCCCCCTCTGTCAGGTCCCCCCTCTGGCAGGTTCCCCCTCTGTCAGGTTCCCCCTCTGACAGGTCCCCCCTCTGGCAGGTCCCCCCTCTGACAGGTCCCCCCTCTGGCAGGCCCCCCTTCTGTCAGGTCCCCCCTCTGGCAGGTCCCCCCTCTGGCAGGTCCCCCTCTGGCAGGTCCCCCTCTGGCAGGTTCCCCCTCTGTCAGGTTCCTGGTCCCCCCTCTGGCAGGTCCCCCTCTGGCAGGTCCCCCTCTGGCAGGTTCCCCCTCTGGCAGGTTCCCCCTCTGGCAGGTCCCCCTCTGTCAGGTCCCCCTTCTGTCAGGTCCCCCCTCTGGCAGGTCCCCCTCTGGCAGGTCCCCCTCTGTCAGGTTCCCCCTCTGGCAGGTCCCCCCTCTGTCAGGTCCCCCCTCTGGCAGGTTCCCCCTCTGTCAGGTTCCCTCTCTGGCAGGTCCCCCCTCTGTCAGGTCCCCCCTCTGACAGGTCCCCCCTCTGGCAGGCCCCCCTTCTGTCAGGTCCCCCCTCTGGCAGGTCCCCCCTCTGGCAGGTCCCCCTCTGGCAGGTCCCCCTCTGGCAGGTTCCCCCTCTGTCAGGTTCCTGGTCCCCCCTCTGGCAGGTCCCCCTCTGGCAGGTCCCCCTCTGGCAGGTTCCCCCTCTGGCAGGTTCCCCCTCTGGCAGGTTCCCCCTCTGGCAGGTTCCCCTCTGTCAGGTCCCCCTTCTGTCAGGTCCCCCCTCTGGCAGGTCCCCCTCTGGCAGGTCCCCCTCTGTCAGGTTCCCCCTCTGGCAGGTCCCCCCTCTGTCAGGTTCCCCCTCTGGCAGGTTCCCCCTCTGGCAGGTCCCCCCTCTGGCAGGTCCCCCTCTGGCAGGTCCCCCCTCTGTCAGGTTCCCCCTCTGGCAGGTTCCCCCTCTGTCAGGTTCCCCCTCTGGCAGGTCCCCCTCTGGCAGGTCCCCCCTCTGGCAGGTTCCTCCTCTGGCAGGTCCCCCTCTGGCAGGTCCCCCTTCTGTCAGGTTCCCCTCTGGCAGGTCCCCCCTCTGGCAGGCTCTGGGGCCGTGTTCCCCGGACGCTGTCTCAGCCAGGCCCTGGAGGAGCAGGGTCTATCCTCACAGCCGGCGCTCACAGGGCGGGATGGCTGGCTTCCAAGAAGACCAGGTGGGCCGGAGGCTGAGACCCGGGACGGAGCGCCCGTGCGGCTCAGAGCCGGGGCTGGTCTCACTCCGAGGCTTTCAGGCCGAGGACCCTCCTCGCTCCCGGGAGGGTCAGAGTTCAGGATTTAGATCCCTGACTTAGGTCCTCTCTCCTCGGAACACCCCCTCCCTGAAGCACCAGAATAAGGCCTGACCAGGGATGGGGCTGCAGGCCAGCCCGTTGGCCGCAGACGTGACCTCACACCCGTGCGGCTCAGTCCCCTCCTGGTGCCGGGCCCGGAGAGCGCCGCCCTGCTCCCTCGTGGGCGCTGCCCCCAGGAGGCGGGCGGTGAACGGAGCCGGCCTCCTGCGGAGCAGAGCCGGGAGGGCAGCTGGGTGGCGGGAGGCCCGGCAGAGAGGGCCTATGGGACAGTCTCACTGGCCTGCCTCCACCCCCTAAAGGGAGGAGGGGTTCCCGTTTGCATGTTCTGGCTGGAGCCCCCGGCGTGGGCATCGCCGCTGTCCGGGCGAGGCCTCGAGGAAACCAGGACGCGGGTGAGCGCGATCGGAAAGGCTCTGAGCCTCGGTGTCATCTCAGTAGGACAGCGGGTGGAGGGGAGAGCCGGCGGGCGGGTGGGCGGGTGCAGGCGCAGCCCTGCCTCCCAGGAAGCGGGGAGACGGCCAGCACAGAGGGACGGACCGACAGAGGGGTGTGGACCGACCGGTGAGAGAGGATGAGCCTGAGGTCAGGCTGAGCTGAGCCTCGCAGGACGGCGTCCGCGGTCAGAGCACGGTGACCTCCGGGCAGGCTCGTTCCTCGTGAGTCGTCAGAGCCAGGGGCACAGGCTTTGCTCACGCTGTTCTCTCCGCCCCAGGGCTGACGGCTGGCGAGCAGAGCCTGGGTGGCCGTCACGGGGTATCCGAGCCACGGCCCCGCGGCCTCTGTGCCCGCCCCTCCTCCCTGACCTCGGTGGCAGGCTCCTCTTTGGCCCCGGCTCTGGTTGGGCTCAGGCAGGAGGCAGCCCATCGACGTGTCTCACTCATTCGATGTTTCCCTCTCTCTCCCACTCTCCCTAAAATCAACGGGAAAATACCCTCCCGTGAGGATTAAAAAATAAAATAAAAATTTAAAAAGTAGAAAACCTATTGTTACATGGTTTTTTCCCAACAGCAGTTTTGTCTTGTGGTCACATGGACTTTAATCTGGGAAGTCAGCAGATTCATGTGACTTACATTCCGTGTAACTTGTGTTCCGTGTGACTTACATTCTGTGTAACTTGTGTTCCGTGTGACTTACATTCCATGTAACTTACGTTCCGTGTGACTTACATTCAGTGTAACTTGTGTTCCGTGTGACTTACATTCCGTGTAACTTGTGTTCCGTGTGACTTACGTTCCGTGTAACTTATGTTCCATGTGACTTACATTCCATGTAATTTACATTCCATGTGACTTACATTCAGTGTAACTTGTGTTCCGTGTGACTTACATTCTGTGTAACTTACATTCCGTGTGACTTACATTCCGTGTAACTTGTGTTCCGTGTGACTTGCACTCTGTGTAACTTATGTTCCATGTGACTTACATTCCATGTAACTTATGTTCCATGTGACTTACGTTCCGTGTAACTTATATTCCGTGTAACCTGTGTTCCATGTGACTTGCACTCTGTGTAACTTATGTTCTGTGTAACTTACATTCCGTGTGACTTACATTCTGTGCAACTTATGTTCCGTGTAACTTGTGTTCCGTGTGACTGCATTCCGTGTGACTTGCATTCCGTGTAATTGCGTTCTGTGTAGCCTGCGTTCCGTGTAACCTGCGTTCCGTGTGACTGACAGCACTGAGCTCGCTGTCAGCGTTTCCTGTTCCCAGCTGGTTCTGTGGAGGCAGACCCGGGTAGGGCCTAC